CGGGCCGGGGCGGGCCGGAGCGGCGGGTGTACATAGGGGCTGCGGCGGGAGGATGGATGCATGCAGTGCCGTCGTGGTGAGRTGTCCTTGGTGCCTTGTGTGGTGTAGAGCCCGGTCCCCTGTCTGCATGTGGGGGGTGCCTTACCGATCCGCTCCGACGACAGCGGCGACACCGAGACCGGAAAGTTTTTCCTTCCCTGGTTTTAGTATGGCTGTACATTTCTGCCTATTAATATTGGGATTTTTTTTTTTTTTAGAGACTATATTTTTGTACGCACCGGTTTGGGGTTTTGGTTTTGTTTTTGGTGACTTAAAAGTGTTCCGTTTGTAGTAGGACTTGGGACAGGATGTAAATACTCGGGCTGGGACCGGCGCCCGTGGTCGGCCGGGACCCAGWGCGCCGCAGGTAACACGAATAATGCACAACCACTAACGGGGGCTGGAAGGAGGGGAGGGGGGTGTCTTTCTGGCCACTCTGTAAATAAACTTTTCGACAATAGGATAGGTGCTTACAACGTTTATAAAAGACGACAAATAAATCTCTTAATTATGCTAAATTTACATCTTTATTTCCATAGGTTCCCTGGCCCGACCCAGGGAGGGGGTGTCCCCCGTTCGTCCGCGACCCGCGCCGGGTCCCGGCGGCGCAGGGCTGCGGGGCAGCCCGGCCCGGGTCCGCTGAGCGCACCGCCCCACCCCGCAAAGCCCCGGCGTGGAAAACCAGCGGCCCCGGCCGCGGCGTACAAACACTCGCTTTTGGGCGCGGGGATTTCCCTCGGAGACGAGAGACGGGATAATATTAACCAGGGAGCGGGGTGGGTTTTTTTTGACTCATTCTGTTTTGTTCCGCGGTTACGATCCGCCCCAGGCAACCTCCGCGAGTGGGCTCCGGAACAGTGAGTACCGCCGCCCCGACGGCCGCCGCTCGGGGGAAGCGGCTCCTGGCGGCGCGGGGCTGCGCGGGCGGTGCCGCGCCCGCGCCTRGGGGCTCCGCGGCCGCCGTGAGCGACGGCGCTCACCTCCGCGGCACAGCCGGACTGTTTTTGCTAAACCACAGGCCCGCAATATTGAGGGCTTGTGTTTTTTGTTTTTTTGGGTTTTTTTGGTTTTTTTTTCTTCTAAACTTATTTTGATGATGTTTTTTAAGATGTTATCCTGGCCTCGGCCCCTCGGGTCCTGCCATCGGTGCAGGGCAGTGAGGGTCCCGCGGGCTTGCTCTCTGCCACACAGATCCCCGGCGCAGCCCCCACTGCAAAAGTGAGCTGTGTAGGATGGATATTACACCACAGCCCAGCACAGCAGGGTGAGGGGATAAAGCCCTTGCTTGGTGGTTCCCAGCCTCTGCTCGCCCAGGTCCCGTTGTGCTGAGCCCCTGCAGCACTTGCCTTTTCTGATATACCCTGCTACCCATCTTCTGGAACTTGTGCTGGCTTTTGGGGCAGCTGCTCTTTGCTTGGAAGAGGCAATCAGTGGGAGCTCAAGTGACATACCTGGTTCTTAATCTAGATAGCTTCTAAAGTTGGGCATGGACCAGCCTGTGCACGAGAAGCCACAGAACGCTACCAGCTCCAGAACTGCCACACTCACAGCCCCGCTATTCACCTTAGCAGCCCAAGTAAGCCTTYGTGTCCTGAGTTGCAGTTTTGCCACCTGATCCCATGTGGTCCTGGCCCCCAAGAGACCACAGCCAGCTGCTGGAGGGATGTCACACAGAAGTGGTGGCTTCCTCACCTGCTGGTACCACCCCAGCCTTGGATAATGACAGCTCAGTCATAGGCAGAGCATCGTGAGCAAAATGGGTATCTCAGCAATCCAGACACACAATCCAAGGCTTCCCTTGCATTTTCCAAACTACCGTCTCCAGCCATGCTCCAAAATTAAAACCTAAATCAAAAGCAAAAATGAGACATAACACAGAACAACACAGAAATCACTAAAGAGCTGAACTAAGGCAACTGCTGGTGACTAGTGTACAGCTGTAAGTATCTCTCAGCGCATAGTATCAATGGTCCTACACTCCTGTCTCTTGCCTTACAGTGAGAGCCAGCTTTAAAAGCAGCGACAGTGTATGTGTCCAGATTTGCTTACAGGATTTGGGCTGAGAATGCAGTGCTAAGCATCGCCTCCCRAAGAAAGGCTGATCACACTTCGGACTGTTAGGCAAGAGAAACTGGTGCTCTGTACYGTACTTGGCTCAAGGCTGTCATACTTGTGAAGGAAAGTAAAACTGGTCAGTGGTGAGATAGCCTGTATTTATTCTATAATTCAGCCATAAAGTTATTTTGCTGTTGTGAGAACACAATAACCAGACCGCAGAGAAAAGGAATGGCATTACAGACTTAAACCTTCTGCTTACAGATATCCAGAACATAGGAAGTAAGTTTCAATTAGTGAGTAAGCAAGAAGTTACACAAAGAGGCTTTTTTTTTTTTCAAAATGCATCTCAGGTTTTCTTTGCTATTTTTCCAGCTTTAAATACTTTGATACTAAAACCTTAATTAAAAAAAAAATGTTTTGCGATACTTAACAGCACTCCACGGTGTGACGATGCTGTCCTCTTTAGAAAGATACATTAAAGTTCTGTCTCATTAAACATCTTGAGTGGGTTTTACACATGGAGAAAAAAAAAAATTAAAAACCAAGGAGAAAGACCTAAGGGGAGGATAAAGCAGATGAGATAAAAAATGCTCGCTGTCGCAGTTTGTTTTTCCAGTACAGCTGTTTGCATGCACCGCGCTATCTTCTTTGCGGACTTCTGAAAAAGGATGACTGTCTTCATTAGCCTTGGAGAGAGGTAGAAACAGGCTGTATGCAACACAGGGAGGCATTGCCTTATAATTAATGACTACATTCGATCAAGAATTGTTAAACATTAACTAATGYTAAGCTGCAGGGGAATTCCAAGAAAAACAGGTAAGCCAGCTACAGAAATATCAGACACCTTAAAGTGCTCTAAGAATAAATGGAAATCACCTGAAATAATTTCTACCAATTTTTCCTTGCAAAAGAATTAATCCATGCATGCATAATGCTGATTCTATATTACATTCATATTTTGCAGGTCAGGGAAAAAAAAAAAAAGCAGCAATGCCGTATCAGAATAATTTAAAAATTCACACATACAGGCTACTGTACAGGAAAAACAAGTCTGCTTTTATAAATACACAGAAAAGCAAAGCCAGTTGTGGAATGATTTCTGGAGCAAGTTGGTACATCACTTAGGAGGCTGCTAAGTCATGTTTTCTTACTCAAATTCTCACGACTACGATGGCCAAGGCTGCCCTGGCTTGGGGTTTGTGGTATGAAGTGTGCGTTAGGATGAACAGGCACGAGACCAGTCCCTGCAGTACAGATAGGGCATTTCACCTGTAGAAAAGCTTTCTCCTGTGTTACAAAGATGGCATCCCCTGCCGTGGACAAACTGCATCTCCAGATTGCTTCCATCACAGCAAGGCAAAATTAGTGGTATCTCTTCTAAGTTTACTTAAAAGCCTTATGAAAAAGGAGTCTTTATAAATAGTATAAAGAGGGAAACTGAAAGGCTTCAAAAGCCCAAAGCRTTCACTTGTCCATATAAAAACGCAGACCACGCTTTAAAGAGAAGACATCAGGTCAAATCTWATCAGTATCTAGGGTATGCGCTGCTGTATATAGAGGGTTTGCAAATATGCTGTGTTTCTAGAATAGCTTCCACAACAGTGGATAGTTGTTTTTTTCTCTTACAATGCCCAGTTTCTGCCACCTTCTGCCATCGCTGCATTAGAGGTTCCAAGCGAGGWTTATTAGCAGCTGTCTCCTTCTTGCTGAAGGAAGTATGCATAGATGCACTCAGTAATTCTCAGTTGCAATAGTGAGAGCTTGTATGTGACACTTTAAAGAACTGTTGCAAAGTAACTCTGAACCTGACAGTTTCCCTTTGGAGTGGGAATTTCCTTAACTCCAGCCTTGGGGATCGATCACTGGCATTTACTGGAGGAGCGTGTCCTGGCTCAGGAGTTGTTCTGAATTTGTTTCTTACTAGCAGGATACAGCTCTCCTTGAGAATTGCTCTAGAGACAGTCCCAAAAGGCTATAGCCAGACCAACSCCCTGCCCAGGCTCAGTGGGCACAGTCCCCTGGTCCTGTGGTGCCAGCAGGCTCTGGCAGTGGGAGCCCCTCTGGGAAAAGCCAGCGCATCCTGCAACAATTCTTATTGCATTTACTCTCCCTTTGGAGCTCGATCCCCCCACCCTSATGCGTGACCCTAACTATTTACACAGGATGTTGGAATATTTCCCCGACCCTTCCGCTGAGCAGGAGTTTCACTGTGCTKCTCCGGCACATCGGCCTCAAGGACATAAACACGCTCTGGCGCTTTATTTCCCCCGACTACGAAGCCCGTGATCAGAGGACGCTCTGACCCGCGGCGCTCCCGCGCAGATCCAGCCAGCGCCGGCCGTCTCGAACACCGGGTCCCCGTGGTGCTGCTGTCCGGCGGGCTCGGGGGTGGCCGGGCGGGGGCGGCGAGCGGCGGGCTCCCCTCTCGGCAGGGCGAGCRCACATCGTCCCCAGCGGCCGCCGCCCGGCCCGGGCCGCCGACGGCGACTCAGAGGCAGACGCGGGGCCCGGGGTAGGGCTCGCCCCCGCACCAGAAGTCGGAGGCCTGCGGGGTCTCCATCAGCCACACCTCCCGCGGCAGCGCGGGCGGCTCGGCGCCCGCCGGCGGCCCCTCCAGCAGCCGGTAGTAGTGGCAGTCCCGGCCGTGCTGGGGGTCGTAGGGCGGCGCCAGGATGTCGAGGAAGGCGGCGGGCCCGTCCACGGCGTCGATCTGGTGGAGGTTGTCGGTGTGCGGCGAGAGCAGGCAGGGCGGCGAGGCGGGCGTGTAGTGTTGGCGGGAGCGGAAAAGGGCGCGCAGGCACGGCCCGCTGCCAGCGGCGGGGGGCGGCGGGGCGGCGGCGGTGGCGGCCCCGGCGGGCAGCGTGTCCATGCAGGCGATGCGCAGCGTGCCGTACAGCACCTTCAGCATGCCGTTCATGCCCGGGTGGTCGTGCAGCGGGATGCAGGCGCCGCTCCGCAGCAGGAACACACCCATGCTGAAGCTCTCGGTCTCGCAGATGTGCATGTAGCTGACGGGCGGCACCACGCCGGCCCACGGCGGACCCCCGCCCGCCGCCGCCGCCGCGGCCGACGGCCCCCGCGGCGCCAAGTGCAAGTCTTCGGCGCGCACCTCGTCCAGCAGCTGCTGCAGGCGGTGCAGGTTCTCGCCGAAGGCCGGGCCCGCCGGGCTGCGGAAGGTGATGCGCGCCTGCCGCGCCACCCGCTGGATCAGGGAGGCCATGTTGTCCCGGGGCATGGCGGCAACGGCCCGGCCCGGCCGCGGCGGGCGGGGCTCAGCTCCGCTTCCGCCGCCGTGCCCCGACCCGCCGCGCAGCCGCGCCGCCGCCGGGCACCACGGGGCTCGTAGTCTGGGCTGGGGCCCCGCCGTGGGAGTGCGGAGGAAGGAGGAGGAGGGCAGCGGAGGTGAGGGGGCGCGGGGACCGCGGGGCCGGCCGGCTGGCTCCCAGAGCTTGTGGCGGCCGCCATTGAGCCGTGAGGGGAGACGGCCGTGAGGGGAGACGGGCGGGCGGGAACGGCCGCTGCCCCGGGACTGAGGGGTCCCGCTCCCCGTGACTCGGGCAGGGGCACAGCTATCCGGGGAGCTGCCCTGCAGCCTGGGAAACCACGGCAATAAGTTCCCCGTGCCGTGTGTTTCGTCCTGCATCGCTGTGGRAGCGAGGAAGCTCAGGAGCAACTTGTTACTTGGCTTGTAGTTAAGCCATGTAAAAGTGAGCAAGGTAGTGCAAGTGCAGTTGTCATGGACGTAAAACAACTGCATAGACAATTTCTCTTTTTTTCACTAACTAATTTCACATAATTGATATAACCAAGCCATTTGGGCAAATTTATCAGATTTGAGTTTTGTGGCACTGCCTCTCATTTCAGTATTGGGTCGAGGTCGTGCTGAACCACACGCACTGTCCTTCATGCATCTCCTTCTGGTCACTTTTTGAGAGTGATTRTGTCTGAATTCGTTATCTTTAACCACAGGTGAACCGACGAGCACACAGAGTTCCAGATGCCGATCCTCAGACATGTGTGACAGAAAGGATGGATAATCTTTTGGCTCGGCTCCAGCCTGGTGGAGCCTGCATGTGGTTGTTTCAGGCTAATGTGCAAAAAGGGTACTGCATTTATTCTGCCAGGTTTTTATTTAATTTGTATATCTGTGGCAATGATCCTATTACCTTCTTTCTAAACGGTGTGGCTGTGCCTAGCAGATCATGCCTAGAAAATCCTTGTTTTTGAAGTCAGAAATTAACCTGTTAGTGCTGAGATTTTTAAAGCAAAGTTAGGTTCTGATCACAGAAATATACAGGCTCATACCACCTTGAGTTCAATTACTTGCATGTGCAGCATGTAAGTACCATTGTAGGTCTAAGCCCAGCTGGTAAGAGTTCTGAGMAACAACTGAATGTTAGTAATTAAATACGACTCTAGGGGCTGCAGCCTGATAGGTTAAAAAGTTTCATTTTAAAACAAGGTAAACCAATATGTCTTCTTGATTAAAGGCAAACTCAAGTTGTAAGATACGGATTAAACTTACGTAAGATATACTTGGTCTTACAGTATTCTTACATATTATCATACAACAGTTTGTGTTGGAAGGGACATTAAAGATGATCTGATTCTTGAAACATAACACCATGGGTAGGATTGCCACCTGCTAGATCAGGTTGCTCAGGACCCCATTAAACCTGGCCTTGAACATTGCCAGGGATGTGGCATCCACAGCTTCTCGGGCAACCTGCTGCACTGTCTCACCACCCTCACATGGATGATAAATACATGAATCAGAAATACAAGTGTTGTGGCATGTGATGGCCCAGTAGAGGTTTTAATACTGATGTCATAAACAAAGATGGTGTCTTGGATCTCTTTTCCCAAACCTATTTCCTTCTCTCTATAAATACGTTTGGTGCACAAAATGCAAATTYAGGTCCTGGCATCTTTGCATCTCACTCCACAGAGAACAATGTTCATTTGACTTGCTACATTCAAGTTCCACCTGAAGCTACAAAGCATTACCAGTCTTCAGCTGTTTGTTAAGTGCTAAGTGATTTGTTAAGTCTGTCCTGTGCCAGTGTTGGGAGCTAGAGTGAAGATGAGGTGTGTATTTTTGTACCTGGCAGGAACAGTTCTGTTTGACAAGATGTTTAGGATGAGGGAGCATTATCCCATGTGGAGAGGTAGAGTCTTTAAGGGCCTTTGAGCCTTTCTGTATGGGAATGAACTGCTGAGGACTGACAGTCTCATCACTGCTGCATTGGGTGACAACTGGCATTTTGTCAGAAGCYGAGGGGTGGAAGGCTCCATGTTCAGTGTGCTTTTCTCTTCAGCTCCCTTCCACAGGGGCAGTCAATTTAATTGTGGAGATGTGCACTGGAATTTTTGGTTGTTACCGGTGATAATGATAAATTCTTTATTGGCTGCTCTTTTGTGTCCTGCCTCAGCAACTGCACTTTGCTTGCAAGTGAGTGCTAGAATAYTCACTTTTGAGCACACTGGTTCTTTATCTATACAGCACAAAATTCAGCTGTTTTGTGGAAATAAGTGCTCAGTATTTGTAGTACATTGTGTGTTTGGAGTAACTTGTAGTTGAAGGAAAGATCAGCATAGAGAAGCAGGATCCTGAGTCTGAACTCAGCTTTATCTTGACTTGCTGAGTGGTATTAGGTGAGTTACTTGGCTCTTTCAGGGCTTATCAATCTGTAAACCATGAATCATAGGTCCTGCATAAAAGGACATTTATTAAGATTTTAGGTACATCTTTAGGTGGACAATCCTGGCACTGTGTTCAACTGGTGATGAGATTTATATTTTGCATAATTGGTCACCTTATGATCTCCAATGTTTTTAACTGCTGTATTGATTGCCATTTGTAACAGATACAGACAAAAATAGATTAATGTTCCAGTTAAATGCTATATCACACCCATACACATTTTTTCAGTGCAGTAATATTCAAATAAACTCACAAATCAACCTCAACAGAAAAGCAAGCTGTCCAGCCAACTGGCAATTAAATTGATATGTTTTTCATTCTGAAAGGCCATATACTTAGCTGGCCTCTACTATCCTGAGAATATGTGAGAAAAAAAAAATCACAGTGTAGTTGCTTGGCTGGGCTTTGGGGCTGTGTGGTGTTGGTGATGCAATGACCAAAGTTCAGTCTGGAGGTTTTGTGATACAGCCAGTGAGCGGGAGGTCAGGTTTGGGTTATGGTTTTGGTCTCCTGCTGTGTTTGTTTTGTTTCTCCACACACGGAAGGAGAATGTGCTGAGAAGTGTCAACAGCTGTTTTCTCCTGCCCAACCACACTACTTTCAGTCTCTTTCCCTTTCTACCTGGACTGCTCTGTGAGCAACTCCTTGCTTCTTTATTSCTGTTCTGTATTACAACTCACTCCAAGTTTGTGAAAAACCCCTGGCTAATTTTTTGCTTTCTTCTAGGGGTTGCTGCCCTATCCTCCTAATTTCTTTTGAGAAGTTAGAATTCCCTGTAACCATCAGATAAAACCATCTGTAGTGGATGAAAATGACAGCTGCTTGTGTAGAAGGTCAGTTGTTACCTGTTGCTGAATGTTGTGTCATAATACCAGAATATTTTACAAAATGTAGAGCTTGGACAGGCAGTATAGAAACCATCCTCCATGATAAAGTTGTCAACACTGCAGATGTGTATTTACATAGTATAAAACCCAAGAATCTCTGTCAAAGAGCATCTTTTTTGCACTGTTCCTGCCACTGGTTCTGCAAAGGTGTATTTTTTTTAATAGCTACTACCAATGAAGGAACTAGATGTGAATGCTAGCCAAATGTGACTCAGATGAGAACAGAGAAAGACAAACAACGTGCCTATAATATTGGCTGGCTCTCCAGTAATGGCTTACGTAAAAKAAAGTTGGTTATCAATTATTCAGCAGAAAATTTATATATCAGTAGAAACACAGGGGAGTGCTAGATATAACTGCAATCAAAAGGGGAATTAGGTTAATATATATACCAAACATCAAGCAGATCTGTGYAACATTAAGACTTCCACCCACCTTTATCTCTTCTTTACTGACACGCATCCTGCATTCCAGCAACTGCTGGAGAGAGTCCAGAGGAGGCGACCAAGATGATTAGAGGGATGGAGCAACTCTCCTACAAGGAARGGCTGAGAGAATTGGGTTTGTTCAGACTGGGCAAAGGATGSCTTAGGGGTGACCTAATTGTGGCCTTCCAGTACCTGAAGAGAGGCTACARGAGGGATGGAGAGAGACTTTACAGGGGTATGTAGTGACAAGAGGGAATGGATTCAGATTGAGAGAGTAGATTTAGAGTACATACTATGAAAAAAGTCTTTACTGTGAGGGTGGCAAGGCCCTGCGGAGGTTGCCCAGGGAAGCTGTGGCTGTGCCATCCCTGGAGATGTTCAAGGCCAGGCTGGACTGGGCTCTGAACAACCTGGTGTAGTGGGAGGTGTCCCTGCCCATGGTGGGGGAGTTGGAATTACATGTAGATGATCTTTAAGGTCACTCCCAACTCAGGCCATTCTATGAAMCACGTAATTCACCCCCCACTGCACTCTTCATGTGTTGTAGCTCCTCAGTTAAATGCACTATTTCTATATAAAGCACATAATTAATGAGTTTTATTGACACTTTGCTGCAGAACAGCCTAGAGCAGGAGTTGGAGTGACTCAGAGTAGGAAAGGCTGTGCAGCATGCAAGTCCTTGTGCATGAATTTGCAGGGATAATGAGCCTTATTCTGATCGTCTTGAGTTCAGCTGCACCGATTTCACGCTTTCCATTGGTGAAAATCAGATCTGCGCTGATGTCTCTGGTGCTGCCCAGGTTAGACTGTGGTGATGGGTGCTGTGATTTAGCCATGGCCTTACTCCTTTGGAACTCGCTGCCTAGGGCTGACCCTRGGTGTGAGGAGGAGGGAAGCTGCTCCCTTGCAGGAAAAGCCCTGTGTCTCTGTGCATGTCTGCTCTCCCATTATCACTGACCTCAGTGCCATATTTACTTTCACCTGCTGTGTGATAGGTGTGGTATAAGAGCACTTTTGTCCTCGGCTAGGGTGTGATTGTGCTCTCTTGGAGCCTGAGGCTTGGCAGCAGGTAGCAGTTGGCTGCTCACTAACTCTGGTGTTCCAGAGGGTGCCAGCTGTGGCTCTACCATTGCTTGTGCTATGCTAAGCAGTGGTCACAGACCAACTCTGGGACAACCTTACCAACAAGGGTTAAAGTATCTTTTTCCAGCGGCTTAAAGAGTTACTGCTGTGCCACTGAGTCACACTGCTTGGTGCTCACTC